TGAAGGTGATGGTTATACAAGCAGATATGCCTTACCATTTTTTAAATGAGAAAATGGACAGCTTGTTTGGCTTTTGTTACACATACTTGTATACAGAAAATAATAAAAGTAAAATAAACATTTATTAAATAAAAACATGTTTGCAATGATCTTCAGTTGTGTCACTTTTTTCTGCTTCGTGTCCTGAGAACTCTGTTCTAATACATTATCTATGATTACGTTAAATAAATAGAGTTGTTTGTATTATTATTGTCATATTAATATAATTTATTGTTATTGTTGTTAATATTATCATTTTAAATATAATGTATATTTAATTACTTTGAGTGATATTTCTTGTTGAAGGAAAGATTATACTATACTATATATACTACTATAGTAGTGGTAAGTAAAAGTAATAGTAATAGTAACAGCATTTGTCTTACATAGATCACATATTTTAATTCAAATACCTGTGTGATTAGATTTATTTTCACTTGAAGATTCAAAGTCTAATTATCTGCTAACGACGCTGTCTGGAATTACAGAGCTTAAAAATGCTGTCGCTCGTTTTCCAAAGAGACCAAACGTAACTTCCTGAACCCTGGGCTGAGGCGACGGAGCGACTGTCGGGACCATCTGTGAGGAGGTCTGTCACACTCTGTCACAGTGTGCTGTGACGCCGTGCTAAATGGAAGCAGGAATTTAAATTGTTGTCACTCACTTAGCTCTGGATTTGGTCTCCAGGAGGAGGCGCCAGACTGTGTGGCAGACAGAAATATGTCGTAGCCACTTCATTTATTCATCCTCTCATGGCAACATCAGCGGGGACGACAGGAATGGGCCCCACATCTGAATCAGAATTATTCATTCTAATCTCTCTCTCCGTCTCTACAATTATTTATGGCCTTCAATTATGGACGAGGCCAAGAAAGAACCCACCTCCAGATGAAAAACAGCAAAGACTGAGACAACGGAGGTTCTCGCAGGAACCCACTTGATCATTTTAGTTCGCCCCTGGCTGGGTCTGTGGGGCAGTCTCTGGGGGAGCGGGGGTAAAGGGGGGAATCCATCGTTGTTTTATTACTCCACTATTTTAACCAGTGCATTCTGGGAGCTACAGTACAGTATTGATGCAACTGTAGAAGATGAACCACTGTCACAGTAAAGACATTAGAGAGAGAAAAACACAGCCTCATGAACCACAGCCTCATGAAC